GCAGCACCCTTCCCCTCCCTGGCTTGCTGGCTGGGTGCCCTTCTCTCCCTTCCCCCCCTGTCCACAGCAGCAGGTTTGCTGCCAGCATCCCGCCTTCTCCATCTTTCTTGATTTTTTTCCTCCTCCATCTCCTTCCTCAGGCTTGGGCTGTATCCCTGGGTGCAGTCTTTGTGGAGGAGGGGTTTTTATTTCTCATTCGTAAATATCTTTCATGGGCTTTCTGTGTCTACCTGGTTGGTTCTCCGTTTCCATCTCCAGCTCTGCATTATTATATTTGTAACTGAATGAAGAATGAATGAGTACGGGCCCTCGCTTCACTCCCCACCCACTTCTCACCTCCTGCTCCGTCATGGTAGCACTGGGTCTACCTCCCCCACATACACATGCCCAGGTCTCCCACCCTAGCCCTCAGCTGTGGCCTTGGGCACTCCCCACTGGCCATCCCACCCAGTGCCTCTGGGCTCCCAAACTTTCTCCCTTATAAAGTCAGGCGGCAGCAGACACCCAGGAATGCTGCTGCTGCCCATGACGCATGCCTGCTGTGGGCCCGCCTGGCTGCCCGCAGGCCTACCAGGAATGTGGCAGGAGCCAGGCACACAGGGTGGATTGCCAAGGAGTGGGGTGTGGTGGGGTGCCTGGTGGATGGGGCTAGGCAGGTGGCAGAGCCTGAGCTGGCAGCTTTCTTTCTACTTCTCTCTGTCCAGCTGCTTCTCCTCAGGAAGCTCAGTGTGTCTGTCTAGAAAATGGAAGCCCAGTACCCTACTGCAGACATGGGCTGCAGAGAACTTTGAGACTGTGGCCTCAGCACCCAGGAGTGGGGTGGCCAGAGATAGGGAGGCAAGAGGCCCCAGGCCTGGCTCTCTGGACTGTTCTAGGGCCAGAGGTGGTACTCCCAGGAGCAGCCAGGATGGGGCAGAGGGAAGGGGGGCCAAAGACAAAGATAGGGAGAGGCAGAGTATGAGGTGGTATGATGACTCAGAAGGGGCAAGGTCTGCAGCAACCCCCCCAGATTGGACAAGTACCTGTGCTTGAGACCTGCCTCTGGCCAGCCTAAGAGGGGTGGGGAGGCTGATGGGCAGAGGTACTCCCAGCACAGGGACCCCTTTCCCCAAGAACCTGCTGACGGGCAGAGAGTCGGACATCATGATGGGAGCAAGCAACATGGTTGGGGCCTCCCGGGGGAGGGTCTAGGTCCCTGTTGACACTCACCCTAGGAGTGCCCCCTGGCAACCAGGAGACACCAGCACCACTGGTGCCCTGCCAGAGGGTGGTTTGCTGGAGGACTTGCTGGGGGACCTTGGCCTAGGCTCTACCCCCCTGGGCCCATCTCCCCATTGGAGAACAGGATTGGCAGGGAAGGACACAGGCTCTTTCTGTGCCCCCAGCCCTAGGTCTCAGGAAGAGGGATGGATCCGCCCCACCCTGGGGCCCAGACAGCAGCGCCCTGTTTGTAGGGCGGAAGGGTGGGAAGCCGGGAGACTTATCCACCTTCAGCAAACCTCCCAGATGGGCGCCAGGCAGGAGGGGCAGGAACCCTCCAAGAACACACGGCCCCTTTCATGGAGCCAGGCTCAGCCAAGTAACGGCAGGCGGGCATTGAGGGGCAGGACAGGCCTGGGCACAATTACTGCTCTGTCCTGGCAGCTCCTGGCCCACATGCACAAACACATAGCCTTACGCAAACCCGAAACACCTACCAGCCACCCACACACTTGTACACACATGCAAACACACATGTACGCAGCCCTATACACTATGTACCCAGGCATGCTGGCACTCTGCCTGCATCCACCCCAGGCCCTTGGGGCATCCTGCCCCCACCATGCCGAGGGCTTGGCACTACCCCGGCAGCCCATACCATTAACCCTCTGCACACCCATGTTTGAGAGCAGACTCCTGTCCTGGAAGGGAGCTCCAGGACTAATTTCCATAGTTAGGAAAAGGAAGGGATAGGGAAGGAGTGCCCATTTTACAGAATGGTGACACTGAGGCTCAAACTAGGCCCCTTCTCCTGGCTCAGAGAGCAGCCCACAGCTGCTGCAGGCCTGGCCTGGTGTTGTGATGAACCAGAGGTCTTCCTGACCCTGGAGACTCAAGAACAGGTCTCCAGCCTGTGCTGATCTCTACCCCCAAAAATAATCAGGCCACTGAGCCTGGCTTGGCCCATGCTACTTTTGCCTCTATTCCTCTGCCTTCAATTTGTCCTGAGCCTCCAGTGGGTGAAGGGGGCAGAAGCCCTCCCTGTGCCTCCCTGCCAGTTTCTCACTCAGCCTCGCTGCCCTCCTCTGAAACTGCCATTTCCCTCCCTCTCTGGTCCTCTACACCACCCTCACCTCCCCTAGAAAGCCCTCTAGGATTGACTCCCTGGCTCATTGCTTCTCTGTCCTGTACCCCCTCTACAACCGTACAACCACCCCTCCAGGAGAGGGATTCTGGGTTCTTACAACTGCAGCCCATCAGAGACAGAGGCAGAAGGAGGAGACCAGGAGGTGGAGGAGTGGTGATGTTTGTTTCTAAAGCCATGTCCAGGGAGGCATCAGAGGCCTCTGTTGGGGCAAGGGGGCGGCCTATCCTGCGCACTCCCAGCAACACAGGGCAGCCTGTGTGAGCCCTTCCCCGCCCAGCCCCACAGGAAACAGCAGGGCCCAGCCCCTCAATGGGCCATTCAGACCCCATCTCTCTGGAAAGTACCTCCGCTTCCTGCCACCCTCCCACTCTGGCCTTGAGAACCAGGCTAAACAGGCCACTACTCTCTTCTGTGGGGAGGGGGCTGGAGGCAGGTGGTTCAGTGGTTAGGGCAGCCATCAACTTCAGTTCCTGCCTGGTCCAGATCCCTGACCTTGACCATCCTTCGAGGGTTTACATACAGCTTTAGTGCAAGGGAGTGTGGGTGGGTGGGTGGAGTCACTCTAGCAGTGGGGAGGGCAGGTAGCAAATGTTTAACAACCGGCTTTCTAGGCGAGAAGCGACCCTGATTTGTAGTGTTTGCCTCTTTCCGTGATATAGTATTTCCACGGTGGGCAACATCACCTGGCACACAGAATTCCTGAAAATTTAACTATCAGCCCTTGCCAGCTGCTATAAGCCAGCTCCAGCCCACCACAGTGGGGGGTCCCCGCAGGGGCCACGTGCCTCCACTCCCAGTGCTGTGGCTACCCACAGCTTAGTGTGTTGTGGTTCGTTCTTAAGATTCGGTGTCCTTGCAGATAAGGCACCCCTGTAGGTGTCCTCCACCCGCCAGTTCCTTGCTCTGTCCCTCCCTGGCACTGAGATAGTTTTGCAGTTCTCATTTGATTCCGTGAGCTTCTCAGACAGGGTCCTGGTGTTGCCAACAAGTGAGAAGAGCTAACTAGAGGGCATTTCAGCTCAGCCCCGAGAAGGGCATTATCAGTCTTGGCCATCCTTCCCAGCGGTGTTTGCTGCCCTTGGGAAATACAAGTCTCAGACTCCTCCTGCAGCTGCTGCTGCTTCCTCAGGCGGATGTCAGCTGGCTCAGGCTGGCCAGGGACCAGCGCGTGTCTGGCTGGTGCCAGAGCCTCCCTATTAAAGCCATCAGCCTTTGCTTACTCACATGAGGTTCAGGGAGAGCCTCACAAAGATTAATCACTTTTTTAACTGATTCCTGTCTGCCTCCCAGCACTGGACATCTCGGGGAGTGGGGTGCACAGTCAAAGTTATATTTGGCATAAGAGCCCCTGGCTGGCACAGGTGGTTAAATGCTTGACTACTGGCCTAAAAGTTGGCGGTTTGAACCTACCCCAGAGGCGCCTCAGAAGACAGACCTGGTGGTCTACTTCCAAAAGGTCACAGCTTGGAGAACTCTATAGAGCAGTTCTACTTTGCACACATGGGGTCGCCATGAGTCGGTATCGGCTTGACAGAAACTATCAACAACAACCTCTGCAAAAGGAATCAACCAGAAATTGTGGCAGCAAGTTGGAGGTCGAGGGAGGCTAATCTGGGGAAACTGCCCGAGGCAGTGACAGTTTAAAAGAAGCCCAGTGTGGGACAAAAGGGGCCCGACATAGAGGCCACTGACCCTGGGCAAGCCCAAATGTGGCCTGCTGCCCTAGGAAGCCCTCTGTGCTCTGCCCAGCAGGCCCCCAGGCCCTCCCAGGCCCTGTCTTCAGCCTCAGGCTTGGCCTGGGGGAAGCAGGGACTCAGCTGTTCTCATCCTTGGCTCCGTGGCCAACATGGAAACAATGGGACCGGATCTGACCACTCGCTGGGGACTACTTATAGCTCTATAGCGGGAAGTAATATGGGGTGATGGAGGAAGTTTTGGTCCATTTTGGGTCCAGCACTGCACGTGGTCTCCATCTGGCCTCCGAGCCTTTGCTTCTCAGCAGACACAGGCCAACCAGTTGCCACACACACCCCCAAGGGCAGCTGGGAGCCTGGCCTGAGAGATAAGTGGGGATGGGTTGGCTGCCCATCTCAGCACGACCACTGGGCACCACATGGCTCCAGCGAGCCAGTGGAGGTGGGCACGGCATGGCCAAGTGCTGTTCGAACGCCTCGCCATAAGGGCAATTAGAAGGGATTAGAGTGGGATCGGTTTGGGGTAGGACTGGTTCTCCTAGGACATGCCACCACAGGCCAGGTCTTCAGACCAGTGATGGTTTCCTTTTGGGCCAGGGAGAGACCAGACCCAGGACAGAGATTCCACCTGGATCCAGGGGAGGAGAGCCATAGCTGGCCGAGGCCTTTGGCCCTAGGAACCTCTGAGAAGGAGGCCTAAGTTGCTGGGAATGGCTGTGTTCTGGCCTCCTTCAGAGCCACGGTTTGGTCCGGACACAAGGTGAGGCCTTCTTGTGCCAGGACCAAGGAGGTGCTGGGATCTGGCCGATGCCCACGGGGCAGTACCGCATATGAGAACCAGGAAGCTGCGCCAGTGTGGAGCGCCCTCCCTGCAGCCCACTCGCCCCTCTCTGAGGTATCATCCTCCTCCAGGCAAGAGTCCGAGCCTTGACCACAGTCCCCTCTCTCACATAGCCTCCTTCTTCGGTGAGAACCACCTGGAGGTGCCTGTGGCTATGGCCCTGACCGACATAGACCTACAGCTACAGTTCTCCACATCCCAGCCCGAAGCCCTACTGCTCCTGGCAGCAGGCCCAGCTGACCACCTCCTGCTGCAGCTCTACTCTGGACTCCTGCAGGTCAGTGACATCCCAGGGGCCAGGGACAGGACTCCTTCTCTAGCTTTCAGTGGCTTCCAACTGGCTGTGTGACCTTGTGCAAGTCACTTTCACCTTGGGGTCTCAAAGTTCTCACCTGCGAAATGGACAATACCAGCATCCCTGAAAATGTGACTCCCTCGTGAACTGGCTCTCCCCTCCTGCTCTCTGCAACCTCATTGTTCACCACAACCCCTAGCAGGTTGGCTGTAACCTCACTGAACTACTTTCAGTTCCTTCTGCCTGGTGCGTGCCTCACCTGTCCCCTTCACCTGCCAAACTTCAGCCTCTCCTTGAAATGTCAGCCTGGACATCCCTTCCTCCAGGAAGTGTCACGCTGGTGCTCACCTGGGCTATATCCCCTCTCACAGGCTCCCGGTACCCCCTGTGCGCCCTTCTGGCATAGCACCAGTCACCCTGTATTGCCACTGTCTGTTGATCATGGTAACTGCATCAATACCACCGCTGCTTTCTTGTCTTTCCATTTCATTGTTCAAGTCACTGCAAGCTTTATTAGTAAGGAATCTTCTGGCCCCCTCTTGAGCCTTCCTCCTAACCATGAAGAGTTTTGAGAATTCTGGGGTCATATTGTTGGTGGTGGTGGTGGTTGTCATTGAGTCAATTGCATCTCATGGTGACCCTGTGAGTGTAGAGTAGAACTGCTCCATAGGGTTTTCGGGGTTGGTACCATTTAAGCAGATCTCCAGGCCTGTCTTTTGAGGCATTTCTGAGTGAATTTGAACACCCAACCTTTTGGTTAGTAGTCCAGTGCCACCCAGGGACTTCTCTGGGGTCCTACCCAGTCCAAATTTGGAGGATCCATCTGCTTCCACACCCCTGTGACTATGGCCTGATCAATCTGCTGCTGCCATTGCTTCTTACTGCCACAAGGTGTCACTGTTGAAGACTGGCTGGGTACAGTCTGGTGCTGTTCTGTTCTGCCAGATACAATGATGCCACACCTTAAGTAGAGGTGCTTCATACTGGGACTCCCAAGGTCATGGTTCTTAGAGCTCTGCTCTCTCAACTCTGCCACTACCCAGGCTACCATCTGGTTGTGAGAGTGCCATGCCAGATCTAGTTCTGGTGTCAGTGTCATGGAGCCAGAAACATGTCCCTCTTCTCTTCCCCTACCCCGGGTCAGGAAGCTTTTCTCTACTAAATCTTCAAAGCACACAATATCTAATTGGGCCCCCTATCCCTAAACAGTGGGCATGGCTGCCCTCAGCAACCTACTAGGGGAACTCACCAAGGGGTTCCCAGGTGCCCATTATTCCAGGGGTGGAATCTTCTGGATTCCAAGGTGATTTTCTGGTATCTCTCACACAAGGAAAGAAGAGAATAAAAAAACATGATTTGGGTCTCTAGACGGCATCTTGCTGTATGCAGTTCCTTGTGAGCGGAGACCACATCTGATTCACACTGAGGTCCCCAGAGCCCATCCAGGCCTGGTGCAGGTTGGCTTTGGGGAGCGTTTGGGTATTGAGTAAAGGTATAGCAGGAAGGAGAAAAGGGTGCCATGAGAAGCCCTTGCCCTAGGCCCTCTGTTCTAGAAACTCCAAGTGTGGGGAACTCACTGTGCTCTTATAGGAAGTGATGGAGTCAAGGTGCTGCCCCCATCCCGCACTGTCCCTGTCTCTCCCCAGGTCAGACTTGTCCTGGGCCAGGAGGAGATGAGGCTGCAGACCCCAGCAGAGACACTGCTAAGTGACTCCGTCTTCCACACTGTGGTGCTAACTGTGACAGACAGCTGGGCCACATTGTCAGTTGATGGGCTCCTGAACACCTCAGCTCCAGTCCCAGGAGGCCCTCTGGAAGTCCCTTATGGGCTCTTCGTGGGTGGCGCTGGGAGCCTTGGCCTGCCCTACCTGAAGGGAACCAGTCGCCCTCTGAGAGGTTGCCTCCATGCAGCCACCCTCAATGGCCGAAGCCTCCTCCGCCCATTGACCCCAGACGTGCACGAGGGCTGTGCTGAAGAGTTTTCTGCCGGCGACGACGTGGCCCTGGGCTTCTCTGGGCCCCACTCTCTGGCTGCCTTCCCTGCCTGGGGCACTCGGGATGAAGGCACCCTGGAGTTTACACTCACCACGAGGAGCCAGCAGGCGCCCCTGGCCTTCCAGGCAGGGGGCCGGCGTGGGGACTTCATCTATGTTGATGTATTTGAGGGCCACCTGCGGGCCATGGTAGAGAAGGGCCAGGGCACTGTACTGCTCCACAACAGCATGCCTGTGGCCGACGGGCAGCCCCACGAGGTCAGTGTCCACATTGATGTTCACCGGCTGGAAATCTCCGTGGACCAGTACCCCACCCGCACTTCCAATCGAGGGGTCCTCAGCTACCTGGAGCCAAAAGGCAGTCTCCTCCTCGGGGGCCTGGATGCAGAGGCTTCTCGCCACCTCCAGGAGCACCGCCTGGGTCTGGCCCCTGGGGCTGCCAACGCGTCCCTGCTGGGCTGCATGGAGGACCTCAGCGTCAATGGCCAGAGGCGGGGGCTCCGGGATGCCTTGCTGACTCGCAACATGGCAGCCGGCTGCAGACTGGAGGAAGAGGAGTATGAGGAAGATGCCTATGGCCCATATGAAGTCTTCTCCACCCTGGCACCTGAGCCTTGGCTCTCCATGGATCTGCCTGAACCCTGTGTGCCTGAGCTGGGGCTGCCTCCCATCTTTGCCAATTTCACCCAACTGCTGACCATCAGCCCCCTGGTGGTGGCTGAAGGTGGCACAGCCTGGCTTGAGTGGCGGCACGTGCAGCCCACCCTAGACCTGAGCAAGGCAGAGCTACGCAAATCTCAGGTGCTATTGACCGTGAGCCGTGGGGCACGCCATGGTGAGCTAGAGCTGGACATCCCAGGTGCCCAGGTGCGGAAAATGTTCACCCTGCTAGATGTGGTGAACCGCAAGGCCCGCTTCGTCCATGACGGCTCTGAGGACACCTCCGATCAGCTGGTGCTGGAGGTGTCCGTGACGGCTCGGGGGCCAGTGCCCTCCTGCCTGCGGAGGGGACAGACCTACATCCTGCCCATTCAGGTCAATCCTGTCAATGACCCGCCCCGCATCGTCTTCCCACACGGCAGCCTCATGGTGATCCTGGAGCACACGCAGAAGCCACTGGGACCTGAGGTTTTCCAGGCCTATGACCCAGACTCAGCCTGTGAGGGCCTTACCTTCCAGCTTCTCGGCAACCCTGTGGGCCTCCCTGTGGAGCGCCGAGACCAGCCTAGGCAACCAGTGGTCGAGTTCTCCTGCCGGGAGCTGGAGGCGGGAAGCCTTGTCTATATCCACCGTGGTGGCCCCGCACAGGACCTTATATTCCGGGTCAGTGACGGGCTACAGGCTAGCTCCCCGGCCACCCTGAAGGTGGTGGCTGTCCGGCCAGCCATCCAGATCCGCCACAACACAGGGCTCCGCCTGGCACAGGGCTCCACTGCACCTATCTTGCCCACCAACCTGTCGGTGGAGACCAATGCGGTGGGGCAGGATGTCAGCGTGCTGTTCCGGGTCATGGGGGCCCTGCAGTTTGGGGAACTACAGAAGCAGGGGGCAGGTGGGGTGGAGGGTGCAGAGTGGCGGGCCACACAGGCCTTCCACCAGCGCGACGTGGATCAGGGCCGCGTGAGGTACTTGAGCACTGACCCGGAGCACCACGCCGAGGACACCGTGGAGAGCCTGGCCCTAGAGGTGCAGGTAGGTCAGGAGACCCTGAGCAACTTCTCCTTTCCAGTAACCATCCAGAGAGCCACAGTGTGGCTGCTGCAGCTGGAGCCCCTGCATGCTCAGAACACCCAGCAGGAGGCCCTCACCACGGCCCACCTAGAGGCCACCGTAGAAGGGGCAGGCCCAAGCCCCATCTCCTTCCACTATGAAGTGGTTCAGGCCCCCAGGAAGGGGAATCTTCGACTACAAGGCACGCGGCTGTCAGATGGTCAGGGCTTCACCCAGGATGACTTGCAGGCTGGGCGGGTGACCTATGGGGCCACGACACGGGCCTCGGAGGCAGTCGAGGACAACTTCCGCTTCCGTGTCACAGCTCCATCACACTTCTCCCCCCTCTACACCTTCCCCATCTACATCGGAGGTGACCCCGACGCCCCTGTTCTTACCAACATCCTCCTCTCAGTGCCCGAGGGTGGAGAGGGTGTCATCTCTGCTAACCACCTCTTCGTCAAGAGTCTCAACAGTGCCAGCTACCTCTATGAGATCATGGAGCGACCCCGCCATGGGAGGTTGGTATGGCGGGACACACAAGACAAGTCCACCATGGTGATGTCCTTCACCAATGAAGATCTGCTCCATGGCCGACTGGTCTACCAGCATGACGACTCCGAGACCACGGAAGATGACATTCCATTTGTGGCTACCCGTCAGGGCGAGGGCAGTGGTGGCAATGCCTGGGAGGAGGTCCGGGGCGTCTTTCGTGTGGCCATCCAACCCATAAATGATCACGCCCCAGTGCAGACCATCAGCCGCATCTTCCATGTGGCCCGGGGTGGGCAGCGGCTACTGACTACAGACGACGTGGCCTTCAGTGACTCTGACTCAGGTTTTACTGATGCTCAGCTAGTGCTGACCCGCAAGGACCTCCTCTTCGGCAGTATTGTAGCTGTGGATGAGCCCACACGGCCCATCTACCGCTTCACCCAAGAAGACCTCAGGAAAAGGCGGGTCCTATTCGTGCACTCAGGGGCTGACCGTGGCTGGATCCAGCTGCAGGTGTCTGACGGGCAGCACCAGGCCACTGCCCTGCTCGAGGTGCAGGCTTCAGAGCCTTACCTCCGTGTGGCCAATGGCTCCAGCCTCGTGGTCCCTCAGGGGGGCCAGGGCACCATTGACACAGCCGTGCTCCACCTGGACACCAACCTAGACATCCGCAGTGGGGATGAAGTCCGCTACCATGTCACATCTGGCCCACGCTGGGGGCAACTGCTCCGGGCTGGCCAGCCAGCCATGGCCTTCTCCCAGCAGGACCTGCTGGATGGGGCCATCCTCTACAGCCACAATGGCAGTCTCAGCCCCCGTGACACCCTGGCCTTCTCCGTGGAGGCAGGGCCTGTGCACACGGATGCCACCCTACAAGTGACCATTGCTCTAGAGGGGCCATTGCCCCCACTACACCTGGTCCAGCACAAGAAGATCTACGTCTTCCAGGGAGAAGCAGCTGAGATCGGAAGGGACCAACTGGAGGTAAGGGGCTGGGGGTGGTAAGCAGGGGTACGAGCCAGGTAGAGGAGCCTTTTCATCCTCAGCCATCATGCCTGGGCATGCTATGTTTTAGGATGTGACTGGTTGACATGTGTCGAGTGTATGTACATGTCTTAGGTATGCACCTATATGTGAGTGTTGTATGTACAAGTGCTCCTAGGGAGTTTATATGTTGTACGTGTATCTGCCTGTGAATCGTGTGTGTGTCTACATATCATTGGCACACATGTACATGCTGTGGTTAAACATGCAGATTCCAGGCCTCATCCAGACTCACGAAATCTCTGAAGCGGTGCCTGAGAATCTGTATTCTAGTAAGTTCCCTGGGAAGTTATCATGGTTACTAAGCTTTGAGGACTGCTGGCCATGGAGATGGGCATGGCTGCCCCCCAGGTCCCCATGTCCTCAACTCTTTTTCCTAAACCAGGACTGAGAGAGTCTGTTAAGGGCTACCGAGCACCCAGGACCCTTACAGAGCAATCACAGGCTTCCAGCAGGCCCAGTGACCTTAGGCCAATCCCTTGCCTCTCTGAACCTTATTCCTCTACACTGCCAATCTCTGAGACCCTTCTGGTTCTGGCTGTTTGAACTTTTGGGCAAACCGTGACTAAACATGTCTGGTGTCAGAAAGTCTTTGCCCTGATGGAGGCAGCATTTGAGGCAAGCTTTGAAGAGTCTGGGGTGTCAATAGATGAGCATAGGGAAGGATAATCCAGGCAGAGAGAATAGTCCAGGCAAAGGCACAGAATCAGGAATGTGAGTTTGGGGGTGATGTGTAACCTTTTGTGGCTGGAGCATCAGGTGAGGGAGCACCCAGCAGCGTTTGGGCTGGAATAGTGTAAAACCTGAGCCGCTAAGAAGGATGGGGCGCCCTCTGGTGGTTCCGGGTGGCAACAGCAGAGACGGGAGGGAAGCTTCAAGCAAACCAGAGGCACATGTGTGTAGTGTGTGTGTATATGTGTGCAAGGACGGATTACCCAATAAGCAAGGTAAGCACATGCTTAGGGCATCAACAAAACAGGGGCACCAGTTGTCCAAAGCAAAGACCCCTAGATGCCAAGCAGACAGGACACAAGGAAAAGCGAGCACCTCAGTGGAAGGGAACTGACAGGACGCTAAATGAAATTGATACCAGCTCCAGTGCATGAGAATGTGCCGGCTGGAAATAAAGTTCGTGCAGGGTCACAAGGGCACCACGTGCAAGATTGTTTAAGCTATGAGGCCCCTACCACTTCAACAGTTTCACTGACATCTGTCTCCTACGGTCCCCTCCCATATAATTGAAATTCCTTATCTCAGCTGGTCTCTTGGGAGTATACTATTTCTTTCTGATAAACAAGAGGTGGGGTGGACTGTCAAGTCTAACTCTTGCTACATGCACCCAATATGCAACTGGATCCAACATGAGTGGTTATTGGGCAAGGACAGATTATATTAATAGATAACAGGTCTCTGATCCATTTTGAGAGAACCATCTTGTACATCCATGTCATGCTGATCCAGCAACTCCAGCCAGGAGGGCCACCAATGCCCTTTGCCGTGATGCAAATACAAGGGTATGTTCTTGTGCACATCCTGGCGAACAACCAATGGAAATTCCAGTCCCAGATGACGTGCAAAAGTGAGGGAACTTGAATAAGTTGGCCCATTGCAATGAATTCAATCGTTACTTTATAACTGTATAGCATTTACATGCAGAGTTATGTCTTAAGTTTTGTAAATAATAATATTTATAACCTTAACTTTAAAATATGTTTGGCATACACATGGATGCAATCTAGCATACGTTTAATATAATACTAACATGGGTAATAATTTAATATACTAACATAGCAAATGTCCAAAAATACTGGAAATATTAATATTTATCTAACACAAAAAGTTTTAATTTATTTATCACGTGAGTTTCATTTTTTATTGTCTGTTGCATGGGACACAGTGCTTGATATTACTTTATATTTGCTAATAAATGAGGTATTAAGCACACTAAGAGGGCGCAAAATTCAATATTTATTTACCGTGCAAAATATGTTTCTGTTTTGCAACATTGAGTGTGTTTCTAAATTCATCTTCCAAGAAAGCAACAAAGGGAGTTTATCAGAACGTTACATTTATATTTTATCAGAATGTTTATGTATCTCTGTGTAAGGAAATTGAACGATTCCTTGAAAAAATTACTTAAATGAATATTTAGATAACAAAAATTATATAAATGTATTTTATTTTCCATCTCCTTTCAAACTGACTTTCTTTTAAGAAATTGATTGACATTGTCATGACTTGCAAAACAAACTTGGTCTGTGAGAAGTGGTGCTATTGTTACATCAATTATGTATATAGCTCCGAATATGGGAGTTGAACAATCCCACAAAGACATAAAATGTACATTTTATAAATTTCGTGTACGACAACAACTGTATTTTCCTTTTCGGACCAATTGGGTTAACCTCACATTCAGTTCTCTCTCGTCGACCACATAAGAATGCACCAGTGGCTCTATAATCACCTGACTCATGATGTATCTGGTCCTGTGCTGAGCAAAGCAAACCAAAACACATCTTCAGATTGAGCATACCCTTGTACTTGTATCATACGCTTTGTGATCGCTCTCGCCCCTGTTGGGTATCAGCAGTAGTCCAGTGAACTATGAAGACGCAGCATCAAAGGACAGAAAGTGAGTGCACAAGTTTTTAAGTATTATTTCAAGATGAAAAACTCGTGGAGATCTATGAAGGGCCCTCCAACATACATCTTATGACAAACGAATGAACTTATTTCCAATTGCCTTGTAAATACTATTTCTTTTGACTATCTCAGACCTGAAGAACAAAATTACATGTTCCAAATAAATTTTTTTATTTACTAATTTTCAAATATAAATTTTT